GAGAGATATATAAAGCAAGAGAGATGGAGAGAGATAGAGAAAGCAAGAGAGATGGAGAGAGATAGAGAAAGCAAGAGAGATGGAGAGAGATAGAGAAAGCAAGAGAGATGGAGAGAGATAGAGAAAGCAAGAGAGATGGAGAGAGATAGAGAAAGCAAGAGAGATGGAGAGAGATAGAGAAAGCAAGAGAGATGGAGAGAGATAGAGAAAGCAAGAGAGATGGAGAGAGATATATAAAGCAAGAGAGATGGAGAGAGATAGAGAAAGCAAGAGAGATGGAGAGAGATAGAGAAAGCAAGAGAGATGGAGAGAGATAGAGAAAGCAAGAGAGATGGAGAGAGATAGAGAAAGCAAGAGAGATGGAGAGAGATATATAAAGCAAGAGAGATGGAGAGAGATAGAGAAAGCAAGAGAGATGGAGAGAGATAGAGAAAGCAAGAGAGATGGAGAGAGATAGAGAAAGCAAGAGAGATGGAGAGAGATAGAGAAAGCAAGAGAGATGGAGAGAGATAGAGAAAGCAAGAGAGATGGAGAGAGATAGAGAAAGCAAGAGAGATGGAGAGAGATAGAGAAAGCAAGAGAGATGGAGAGAGATATATAAAGCAAGAGAGATGGAGAGAGATAGAGAAAGCAAGAGAGATGGAGAGAGATAGAGAAAGCAAGAGAGATGGAGAGAGATAGAGAAAGCAAGAGAGATGGAGAGAGATAGAGAAAGCAAGAGAGATGGAGAGAGATAGAGAAAGCAAGAGAGATGGAGAGAGATAGAGAAAGCAAGAGAGATGGAGAGAGATAGAGAAAGCAAGAGAGATGGAGAGAGATATATAAAGCAAGAGAGATGGAGAGAGATAGAGAAAGCAAGAGAGATGGAGAGAGATAGAGAAAGCAAGAGAGATGGAGAGAGATAGAGAAAGCAAGAGAGATGGAGAGAGATAGAGAAAGCAAGAGAGATGGAGAGAGATAGAGAAAGCAAGAGAGATGGAGAGAGATAGAGAAAGCAAGAGAGATGGAGAGAGATAGAGAAAGCAAGAGAGATGGAGAGAGATATATAAAGCAAAAGAGATGGAGAGAGATAGAGAAAGCAAGAGAGATGGAGAGAGATAGAGAAAGCAAGAGAGATGGAGAGAGATAGAGAAAGCAAGAGAGATGGAGAGAGATAGATATATGTAGAGAGCAGGAGAGAAACTGAGAAAGCAAGAGAGACGGAGAGAGCAAGAGACAAGAGAGCAATAGAGAGAGAGAGAGAGAGAGAGAGCAAAAAAACATGGGACTTCTCATGACTGCTTGGATCTCCTAAAGCAATATTTTGTAATGCCTACAGGTCAGTGGAAGTTATGATGGAATTCATGGAAGTCTCGTTTTTGTTAAACCCCTTCAAGTTTTACCAACATGTTTGATATTGGAGTTCTTCATCACACTGCCCCCACTATATGCCATGTTGTATTTTCAATAAAACAAGCAGTGGAATAGGGTTGGGGTATCTACTTTTTTAATGTGCCCCCACCCTGCTGACAATTTAAGCCCACAAAAGTTACTTGATAAACTGACAGCTCCCCCCCCCCCCCATCCTGTTTTGGCTTGTCAGAGACTCTTGATTGAAAATATGTACCAACAAAATCTGAAGGTCATTTTTTTTTCTTGTCACAGTTTATTCGTGGTAAAGCCCCTGGCTCGAGAATCCTGGAATCAGCACCGAAACATAGATCAACAAGAAGAGCTATCTGCAGTAAAATCATTTAAAAATATCAAAATCAAACATATCCTAAACTGTTATCTTTTGTGTTGTGCTATGAAGGCCATCTAACATATGGCTATGGCCTGATTTGAAAAAAGTGGGTATTGTGTAAATTGTATTCATGGTTAAAAGTTATGATTTGAAAATGGCCAATATTTTTCACTGAGGTGATGGATAATCATATATGAACAATTAAAAAACCTTTGGATTTTCATTCCTTCCAGTTGGCAGGCATTAACTGCTTGGAATTGGGCTTATGTCAGATCAATTGCATGACGGCAATCACACAACTGCCCCAATACATTTAGTTGGTATCAGATTAAAGCCCTTTTAAAGCCCTACAATAAGAAACAAAAATCTAATTTTGGTATTTGTATTGTTATTTGAAAGTGTGTACGTAACCATAATATTTTTTTAAAGAAGAAGTCAAACCTGGTATTAAGTTGATTTTAATAGAAGCAGAAGTTGTAATTGACCAAACACAAATTGACCACTCCATTATGTACCTTTGGAGAACATCTCTTATTGGTTCATTACTAAAACAGAATATGTTTTCAATTTCTCTAATTTTTAAATAAATTTATACATATTATATGCAAATAGAATAATTGCACTTTTATGTTTGTAAACAAACACTTCCCCCAAAAATATCTAACCCTTCATGAACAATCAAGAAAATGGAAATTTATCAAATTTCAGTGCAAAGCAAAATCAAAGATGCTCAAAAGATACATCATGGAGTTATGGATTTACATTTGATGGATTACAACTTTTAATTTCAATACTTTTCTCATATTTATTTGCTTTTCCTCAAACTTTCTTTGACATGTCTAATTCAATTTTGTTTTTATTCAAAAACAATTTTATATCAGGGTGGTTTCCCCTTTAAGCTTTAAGTAGGATCTGTTTAAACAAAAAATTCAACTTACAAAGCTCTAACAGTACCCCCATATTTCATTTCTTTTCTTTTTCATCCTCCTTTTCTCTGATACATCACTCTCCATTTCTCCCTTCCTTTACCATCCTTTCTCTCTTCACCCTCTATTTCTCCTTTCCTTTACCCTCCCTTCTCTTTCTTTTCTCCTCCTCCCCTTTCTTCTCCCTCCTCACTCTCTCTTTCCTTGAGGTAGCCCCTTCTCCCCTCTGTTTTTCTCTTTCAATTCTTTTTCACTATCTGTCTTTCCACCTGCTTTTCTCAGATCATATAATTATACATGCTCTCATTCCTTTCTATAATTTCAATACATCAACATTTAAAGCAGATTATTTACATAATCTTCTTGAAATCAGTATGTTAATATTATAAGAACATTGCCTGGATTATTATTTTAATTTAACATTGAAAAATGCCATGTATTCCTTTTTTTAAGTGGATAAAAATATCAAAAAATAAATAAATTAGTCTGTAACATAAAATTACCATTAAAAACTAAAAACTATAGGCACTAGGCCAATGACTAGTAAATATGCATTTACTTTGGATTACATCCTCATCAGAGCCATCGATACACAGAGTTTGGCCAACCCGGTTCAAATTGGACATAATATGGCGACTACTGCTTTGTTGGCAAGCACAAAACAAAAGAATATACACCATGTTGTGACCCAGTGAAACTAAGTTGGCCAAACTCTGTGTATAGATGGCTCTGATTCTCATTAAGGAATGCTGCCCTCTCTCTATACATTTAGTGTAGGATATCGTAATGATGAACATGTCACCATTATTAATGTGGGGTTTTTGAGTTAAGAAACCAAAGGATCATAAGTACAATTTGCATGTATCTCTCACAGTTATTTGTAGACTTGTAATAACTGACTGTCTAATTTGACCCTCATTAATACCTTAAATGAATTAAAAATAATATAATTGTCTAAATATCAAAATAACTACAAGAACATTTCACTCTTCTGAACAACATCACATATCAAAATATCCAAAAACTTTTGGTTGGTTACACATGCATGGAACTGAAAAGAATTTAAAAGCCTATAACTCAGCAAATTAAGTAAGATTACACTTTTCTCTCTTGTTTTCTTGTATTATTAGTTATTGTTATACTCCTTTGTGTTTATGGGAAATGAAATGAAATGAAATAAATAGTTGCACTTGTACACCAGAAAGGTGTTATGTAAAATAATCAAAACGCTGATCTTCATGATCGATGCACCAGTTTGGTAACATGGAAGAAGGTAAAGGAAAAATATTACTTCTTTCAATACTGAATGAAATATATTTGAACAAGACACAGACATCATAAAAATGAAAATACACTTTTTGATACAATACCAATTCTAAACATTTTATTAATCACTTATACATGTATTAGTACATTATAATAGATAATTAATTTATACGAAGAATATATAATCACATATTATTACCATTAGAGAGAGAGAGAGAGATACAACATGGTCAATTTAACATATTAAAAAGGACACATGTCAGATTTTATTTTTACATTAGAGTAGGGTTGTCTGTTAGTTTGTAGGGAGTAACATAAGTAAACATCTTATACACTATTCTATACCTGATATTAGAAATAGAAAAGTGTGTCCGCATGAAGTGGTATTAAAGCTTTAAAGTAGACCATTACTTTACTATGATACAATATTAACAAACATATATCATTTCTCATTTTAATGTCTAAAAAAATAACATGTAGTCATTTACAGAGATATTAACAACATTCTCTAAGCACAAACTTTGCCGGATTTGATTTATCATAATGAGAAAAGAAGTGTGAATCGTAGAATATTTCATAATGAATGGACATTATTCAAATGGGATTATTGCATTTGAATGTGTGAACAATTGGTGAAACAGCAATATTGTTAATACTTGTATTCTTGTGAAAAGATGGCAGCATTACAGATCAATATGAAACGTGTCCATAGTACACTTATTTATAGTATGTATAACATTTTGCAAGTGGATCTTGTGAACAGTTAAGAAATTCTTGTAAGAAAAAAAGCTTAGTTTGCAGCAGGACGCCTCCCCCCCCCCCCCAAAAAAAAAAAATAATAATAATAATAATAATAAAAAAAAAAAATGATAAAAATAAAGAAAAAAAATAACAGATATGTCCCATATTTGATCAAAGTGAATCTTTTATGATAAAAAACAAAAGTCCAATTGAGGATTCTATTGAAGGGTCATTCTAATAACTCACTTTTGGTGTACTGAGGGTCATAACATACCCTCCTCAAATTGGCTACATTGCGATAAGCATCTTTACCTTGCATATTTGCATTGTCTCTACATCTGAACTCTAGCTAGAAATGTATACAAAGGAAGTATTCAACAAAAATGGTAACTTTACACTTTATGATGCAATAAGTATATCTATGTTCACCTTAATGCACTGAAGCTATATATACCAGCTATAGCACTGGGTTTTTGATATACATTGAGCAAATGTTCGTAAATTATTATATTTTTGTAAGGAAGAGAAAGGTGCAGAGGGGCCTATTTACAATATTGACTTGTGACAAAATGAAAGATGGAAGATTTGACTCAGGAATGTATTATTATATAAAGGTATACCGTGTACAAATTTTACAAAGACATGAGAAATATCTTACATAAATGCACATTCTTGTTTCTAAGAATGCCCTTACATTGACTTTGAATCATGAAATAGATCCAAAGATTATTGGCTGTCAAAAAAATTAGCAGTTAAAAACGTAATTTTTAAAGACAACAATTTCTAATTTTCACTATATAATCACCTGTTAATTCACATCTAAACATTTAATTTATAAGATTTTGTCTGTGGAGAGCAATACAGAGAGCCCATATTCAAATTTAGAAAAACCTGCCTTAACTGACAGCCATATTAAAACCCTGCACAAGTGTGTAGATTTAGTCAATTGATTTAGGAAACACCACATGTCAACCTCTTAACCTGTATAAATTACCACCACTCTGCAATGACAGTACAACAAAATCTCCAAATTCCCTTTTTGGGGGGTACCAAAATTGAAATGATTCCTTATTCTGTAACATTTTTACAATAGTTTATATGGCATTTAGAGGTTACAGTAAGCCTTCCACAAAAAAGAGGAGAAAGTTGAGCCAAGTTTAAGTTTGGTCACTTTCAAGAAAATAGGCCATTGCTGACTATTTATTACAATATATGATGTCATGCTTCTGGTTATCAGAAGACGATTTGTTTGTAATTTTCAAGATCCCATCAAATACAACTACATTAATCAAATGGTACTGGTTCAGTGGTAAACTACCATTCAAAACGTTTCTTAGAGGAAATGGTTATTGAAAGAAAAAAGATCATCTCAGTGGTCCGTCGAATTAAAAGAAAGACATGATATTTTCATATTATACTTTAATCAATAATATTTTCTCAATCCCTTCTCCTCTAAACAACAGAGAACCTGCATCTTAAACCTACATTGTGTGTTCTTTCCTTTATACAAATAAAAAGAAGCAAAAAAATCTTTGAACAAGTCACAAGGAAATGTATCAATTCACGTATGGCCAAACATCCAACACCCATTACAACTTGTATCATTTGGCACAGTCAGTCAGTCAGACAGAAGATATCAATACTTACAGACATATATGAAAGTACTCTAAATATTTCATGTTGAAACGAGAATAAATTACTTCATTTACTATAGAGAAACAGATGTAATGGATTATTATTATTATTGCACAATGCAGTAATTAACTAAAAGTACCAGTAGGTTATGTATTTCTTATATACAGTTTATTTCAGACAAGACACAACAAATAAACAAACATTCTATTTGAATTGAAAAGATTAAACCAATGATATCAGGAGTACCTTTGAGATCATAATTACAAACAAACATATATTTGAACCTGAAGAAACAAATTGCAAGCGTCTTTGATATGAACTGTCTTCTAGAAAGTGGAAGAAAATGTATGCATTTCATAATTTTCTTCCAGAATTGTCAATACTTCCATTCTCTGCTCCTGCAACTAAAATCTGACTAAATCAAAATCCTGTTTTATAAGTAGTACTATGTATATAGTGAATTACAGTGCTACCCAAACTGGAGCTTTTTAACCAACAAAATTTCATCTGGAGAATCTACATTTCATTTGTTGAGAGCCAGAAGGGCATTAAGTCATGTATACGGAGAGAGATAGCACCCTTTCAGCTCTGAACAGATGATCTCTCTATAATTGCTGTTTCTGGTGCTTCATTACCATAGCTAGCTATCCAATGCAAAAGAAATACGATCATCAATTAGCCAGATGTGGTCGTTTTGTTACAACGTAACTGTTAATGTGCCACTCTTTTCCTCTGAACTACTGGAACATTGTCTGTCAAGAGCCAGAAGGAAATTAAAAGTCTTTGAGTGAACGCCCTTTATGCTCTCAAGCGATGAAATCATGTAAAAAGAAATGAACAGAGAATGTGTATACAATGAAAAGAGACAATTCAAACTTAGCCTAATGATTCCTTGGAGTTCAAATGAAATAGTATTAAAGTAATCACAAATCACCAAAGATGCTTGCAAAGGTTTTCTTGAGGTTCTTAAAGGTATCTTCGTCTTCTGTGGGCGTCGCCCTGGCCGACGATGACGCCTGAGACCCTCCAGCTGTTGCGTTGGATGTGGATGTTGTGCTGGCGGCGCCCAAGGACCTGACGCTGTTTGGGGTGTGGTTGTTGGAGGGCCTGAAGGGAGTGGTCTGGGGGGAGGTAGCAGATGGGGAGTGGGGTGCAGAACGAGAGATGCTTGGAGCTGGGCTGGTGCTCAGCAATGAGGAGGAACTTACTTTTGTACTGTGGTGGTGGAAAGAAAGAAAGAGAGAGAGAGAGAGAGAGAGAGAGAAAAAGTGGTGGTAAAGAGATAATAATTGTAAGTTTGATTTCTGTTGAATATTGTATGAAGAGTATTCAGCAAAATCATACCTAGAAATGTTTACCATAGCTAACATCTCATGTGAAAGTTCTGAGCTTTTACTGTTCTTCTTCTCCATCAGAAAAAACTCTCCTTTAGATCTACCAAGGCTTTAGAATTAGGGTTACTATTATACAAATTCACAATATGATTGCAATTATTGGCAGAGATTTGAAACCCAACACCTCTCAGACAGATAACAAGATATCATAATTGTCCATGTTTAGTATGGAAGCCTTGTAATCTGCCTGGAACCACTCTCAGTGTTCTTAATAGGTTAAATAGTGTCAACATGAGCATAATAATTTGTACAGGATTCATTTCCTGCCATGGCACTAACATCTTTTTGCAAGACATTAATCTGCCTTTACCACAATCGTCACAGGTGTAGTACGTGGATGCCTGTATTTCATTTATTTATATATTTTACCACTTGTAATTTGGAGCACCCTTATCAGCATGAGTGCTGTTTTTCATTGATGTTTTTAATTTGCATGTTACAAGAAATGAATATTATTACATATTATTACATGCATTGTTCAATGTACATGTACGCTGACACTACATATCTTGAATGATACTGACCTGATGGTGTTTTTGATGATAACAGCATGCATCTTCTGAATAACAAGCTCTGCTATTGCTTTCCTATCATCTTCTTGTTTCTCACCCATTAGACACATGGAAGAATCATTCACCTGAAACAAAAGAAATACATCAATAAAAACCAGTCAGTTATGTCCTGCTATATTTACATAATCATTTATACAACATGATCAGCATCATAATCAGCGTCTTTATTAATCATTATCATCACCTCATCATCATTATCAATCTTACATTCTCTTACTCCCCCTTTTCATAATCATCTTCCTTACAATTTTTTAACAGCACCTTCATGACTACCATAATACCATCCTTACTATTATCATCATAATCATCATCACCACCACCATCATTTTCATCATCATCACTATCCTCCTCCTGACCTTCTTCTCCTTATCCTCACGCCCTCACCTCAATGATAAAATCCTTGCCATCCTTAGTATGTATAGCTTCCACTGTGACAATATCCATTCCTCCAAACAACTCTGCAGCCTCGTCTATCCACAACTTGAACCTGAAAATAAAAAATAAAATGGCAAATATTAATTCATTTATCTTTGCTCTATTTTACTCTCCTTATAGAGAGGTAAGATCAAATCTCTCTCAATATCAAAGCTTTAAAACTTGAGCGACATGGCCCTTGTTGCTTTGGTGTTTGCTTGGCCAACAAACATCTTTTGTCTTACTATGACCTCACTGAAATGTACTACATGGCTGTAGAGCACGCGTTGGATTGCATAATAACTGGGGCAGATTCATTTAATAACAAAATGCTGAAGTTATGAAAGCCATGGTGCATTATCAAAAACATACAAAAGAAAGCAAATGTCAATTTAAGCTGAAGAAATTGGTTGGATAAAATTGATATTTCTTCACAAAAATGATCCCATTAAGTTAAGTTGAGATCCAAAAGGGCATTAACTATATGCATATTGTAAGTATATGAGTTAATGGTCTTTGGGGTCTCAGCAACCATATATATATATATATATATATATATATATATATATATATGAATAACTGAGATTAAACATGATATTAATCTCAGTTATTCAGAAAAAGGAAATATAAATGTGTGTGTAGAGAGAGAGAGAGAGGGAGAAAGAGATCTTTTGTTTGTTTAGAGGCTATACCCTAGACATAGTATACTGCTGTGAAGTAAGAAATGAGATAACATTTCAGAGTTCAAAAAATGTTTCAAAAGTATTTTGATGAGAGGCTGTTCTTGACATATCACGTCTGCATTCACGTCATCGTCTTTGGCTGTTAACAAGATTTTTAAGCGGAACCTTTTCTTGGAAATGAATAAAACCTCAACTAAATGGATACTTATCATGAGTCATAAGCACTCATCAGAGACAATGTTCCCACCCTCCCAACTTCCTGAGCAGATCAATATTATACATGGCATGTACTGGTTGCATTCATGTTTGATTGCTATGCTGCCCTCTGTGGCAAGACCTATACAGTCGGACCTAGGGCTTCTTCATAGTCTACAAGTCCAATAGGCCCTTTTGTCCTACTTTGATAGTAGGTCAATGGTCATACAGAACAATTCAAACAAATTATATTGGACTACTGTAAGAACATGGTGTAAACAAAAATAATTGTTCAAATAAACCAGAAACAATGTGTACTTCTTGTTTGTGTATGATTACAAAGTTGCAACTTTTTTCCTGTCCCCCTAGTACATGAAATGCATGATTGCACAATGGTTATGACCTGCGTGTGCATTGAGTAACCACCCTAAATATGCATAAGGAAATAATGCATACATTAATTAATTTGAACAAACTTATTCCTTGAGTTATGTTAAAAGATGTCAGGGGGAACGTACAGTTAGATAGATAGATAGATTGCATCATTTTTACGGAGTGGTAGCAGATGGATGGGACTATAGAGGGGAAAAGCGAGAAAGAGAGAGAGAGAGACAATTTATAAGGAAAATTTCTGATTATGAGACCACTTTATAATTGATCCCACAATATGCAAGAAAGTGTATAGTAGTTGTAGTAGTGGCTATTGGTGTTTTGCCAAAAAATGCCCAGGCACGTCCAATGTTGCCCTCTCCACTGCCTGTATACATTGCTTTCACTAGATCATTCTTTTCTGTTCAGGAAATCTGAAAGGAACCTGGATGATTCCCCCTTGGCACTGTGCCAAAGAGGTGATGACAAGTACCTGGGAATGAAGGAAGGAGGGATTGAAGGAAAAACAGATAGAATGAGAGAAGGAAGGGGAGAAAGATAATTGGGCTCATTAGCCCTATTTCCATTAGTAGGCAGCAGAAAGCTGGAAAGTAGTCTTTTGCAGGACGTTTTCTCCCTTTCTTTCCTTCGATCTCTTTCTCCCTCTCTCTCTCTTTCTTTCTCTCTCTGTAGATTTGTAGCTAGTCTTGATCTTATGGTAAATGCACAATACATAATCTATGATTCAAACAACTTAATGAACATTATTCATTAAAAAAAAACATAAGGCCTAAATGGAGCGAGTAATGTTTGTCTATTCAATGATGTATTGGTGGCTATGCTTTATTTTCATGAATGTTACATTTGCTTTGATCTTGAGAAGGCCTCATGGACCACAAGCTAACCATATTTGTTATAGCACCTTGGATAAGGGATTGGAAAGGGAGATGATGAGAGACACTATGACATTGATCTAAATTACCTTTGAGGGAATAAATTTCATTTAGTAAAGTATACACAGAAGGAAATGGTAAGGAAGAGAAAAAAAAAAGGTGTGAATATAGACATTTTATTTCAGAAAGAGAGATAGAAGGGGAGATAGAAGGGGAGAGAGAGGGGAGAGAGAGGGGAGAAAGAGAGAGGGAGGGAGAAAGAGAGAGGGAAAGAGAGAGGGGAGGCGAGAGAGAGGGAGAGGGGAAAGAGATAGGGGAGAGGGGGGGGGGGGGGAGGGTATCTGAAGCATTTCATAAAGCACATTAAATTGCCCATTTTCCCCCATCTTGTCCCTCAAGACAATCATGACAAAAGAGTTGATGACAAATTAAAAGCCCCCAAAAACTATGGGTAAAAAAGCAGTGCATTGCAGCAACCCTATCTATGACTAAACAGGGTGCAAATTAGGACGTCTAGTGCCATGGTCTATATTTAGGAGGGCAACTCGCTTTGATTGGTGAAAAAACAAACCCTCAAAGACACACTGATCATGTGAAATATGATCATGATACAACACAATGAAATCATCTAGTATGTCAGACGTAGACAATTATAAACAACAATTGTGATCACTGTTCGAAGGAAGACAGTCTAGATTTTAAATGAAAACAGTTATGCTTGTGAAAGTAAGCTAAATTGGCTAATCCCCTCTCAAATTAGAGCTCACATGATATTTATTCAATAACAAAAATAACCTGTATTTTCACCCTCCCCTTTTACTGGTAAGTTACAGGCATATAACCTGAACAATTCTTTTTTCTTTCTCCACAAAAATAGAGAAACTTAAACATTTCAGCAATACAAATTAGATAAATTAGACTGGCAGACCTATGATTTTTGGAAAGGATGGGGTGGGCAGATAAGCCATAGCTATTCTAGGAACAATTTATACATATAATGCCAACGTCAAAATTGTTAATAAAATGTATATTAGATCAAATCAAATACACCTAGTTCTGGTTGAGGTTGAATGATAATCCAAATATACTGCAGCTTATGAGAACAATGGAGGGGGTAGTTGAACGAGTCAACAGTATCTAAATGAGACATGTTTATAAAAAAAAATTCATATTTTTCTTATTGAGTTAGCAACCATCATCTTTGAGCATGGGTGGCTGCAAATGGCTAAAGCCTATGAGATGAAGGGCCAAGGAACATCGACCAAGAAACTGAAAATGTTGATCTTGCAGGTCTTATGGGCTATCTTTTGACAAGATAGTCACTCTCAGACTGAATTAAGCCCATGCCACCAATGTCGGTCTTACTTGAAAGTTCAGGAGACCGACATTTCATTGGACTGATTTTGTGAGTCTCATGGGCTATCTGTCTACTATGATGGTTGGATATCCTGGCTGTAGATTGTCTTGATGGAGGAAACTGGTTACATCTTGGCTGGTGTTATATAATTAGAATTCTAAATTCTAAATTCTTATGGTTGGCCCAAAAAAATCAGTGGGATTGAACGTGAGTATCATCAGGATTAGTAACCAGTGACATAGGACCTACATGTAACTTTAGATTAGCGAGTGAAAAGAAACCTGGACACAAATGAAACAAAAAGTAGGGCCTCGCTGTGAAGGTCAATCCTACACCCACCCCTCCCCTTCATTAACCCCCCTCCTCTTTGTAACCCCCCTGTCCACCACCTGCCTCTGAGTCACACTTGACCTCTACCGGTACTCTATATTCTACCTGTCCTACTTTTTTGCTGAACAACATTTCCCTCAGGGCCCAGACTATCCAATTGTTTCAACCCCTGGATATATATCTTATGTCATATCTGAAGGAAAGGGGAAGATCTACCACACATACATACTACAATACAGTAAATTTAAATGCACACCCTTTCAATGAAAGTCCTCTTGACAACTAAAAAGCTTTCCAGAGGGTTGTCTGACATAACACCTACAGTATGCAAAGTGGATTCCATCTTTAGAGATGTCATTGTGCAGAGTTGGTGAAAGAAATGGTTTGTAAGCAGGGGTTCATTAGAGAAACATACATAAATTGAAATATGTTAATAAACCGGTCCATCGCATATTGAGCTAACTAAATTCTAAACTTTAACCTTAAAGGCCATCTGTACTAGTGTAAAGGAGGGATTAGACCTCCCTGCAAGGTCACTGGACAAGTGGTTATCTCATCAACTCAGCTCTCAAATAACATAAGAAAAAGAGGATCATGGGGACCAATGGTCACCAATTAGGCATTCTTTGTTATAAAGAGGGTGCAAGAAGCTACGAGTAGTGCAGGGGGGCTTTAAACCAACCTACTGTAAAGTCCAATAATAACCCTGACTCTATATCTTTGATGAAATAAGCGCAGAGCAAATGCGATCAAAGAAAGAAAAGAAACTCGCTAGAGCAAATATGGGACCCCCGGTCAGTCTTACCTGCCGTTCATGGGCATCTCCTCCACTACAGCAGACCCTGTGTTGGCTTTCCAGTTCCCAGAAATTGAAGTCCTCCTGAAAAAAAAGATGTAAAAAAGCAAAATAATTCATTATCATCCTGTTACTAAAAACTCCATCATTCAAAATTGAGAAGGGATGTATGTAATTGTGTGAAATGTTACAATATGAAAGTAATATATTAAGTTTACATAATCATATGTATTGAAGAGATGAAAGCAGTAAAGAACAATAGAAGTCATATTGATGTTTTCATTATGAACATCAGAAATGGCCTCAGAAATGTGATCTATTTCAATGGCATAACTGTAAATATAGAAGAACAAATTAATATTTTTACAAGACTGAAAAATCTCTTCAAAAAAGATTCTTGATAAATATGAGATGTAATTTTAAAGGTATTTGAAAAAGGGTGGTAACTCTGATATCAAAATATCAATATCACCTTTGAATATTTATAATACTTTCCACAACATAAACAAATAAAAGTTTGTATGACTCGCACCCTATCAAGTGCTTGGTTCAGTATATATTCTAAGACTGCATCTAGGTTAAGTAATTGAGACACTTAAAGTGACTCGGTAACATTGTTGAATGTTGATCACAAAAATGTGTAATTTTTGTATAAAATGCTATTTATTATATTCCTTCTACTGTAATCACCCTATAACAGGCAAAAATCCTGAGAAAATTCTCAAACAACAAAGATATTTATGGTTTTCTTTGAAGGCGTCACTGTGCAACACCCTTTAACAGTGATTTACATTAAATTCTCCAAACCATTTTTGAATTTTCCCAACCATTTTTCCTTGAAAAGAAGACATAAGACAGGCTTTAAAAAAATCTTTCAACACTTAAATGGCTGGAATGGTATAAAGAGCCAATTCATAGCTTTGTGATGATTTACATTCATCTAAAATGTAATTAGATTGTATTAATATAGTTGGGAGAGATAAGGAATTGATCAGATCAGTTAATACCCAATTTTTAGCATTAATAATGGTCTGTTTTCACTCAAACTTTCAGATTATCATTAATTGTACATCTAGCATTGATGTAACTACTTTGGAACCATTTCTCTCATCTGAACAATGTTACCAAGTCCCTTAAAAAAAAATTAAAAAAAACTATATTCTTGAATATCTTTATTATCATCATGAAAAAAGGAGGTACGTAATCAATTTCTCCCCTATATTTTATTTAACCCTTATCCATCCCCATTCCCATTAAAGATTATTTAAAATGACAGTGAGGTTGTCAGTTTCACTACCCACAAATTGGTCTTTTATAATCTGATCTCTGTTCTTCATGGCCCAAGGGTGATTATTAGCCAGAGGCAAACCAAGCCTAGCTCAGACAGCTGGTCACATCAATGTTAGAACCTCATAATACATCAGGGCAAGCTAGTAAGCTTACAGTCAATTTCAAATGGCCAATATACAAATAGCAGATACTTTTCCAGACATCCATGACTGTTAGTCAATATTTGATACAAATTTGTTAGCATTTATTACCTGGATATAACTTTTTTGCATTGAATAATACTCTATTCTCAAAAAGCAATAAATTTTTTACCCTTTTTAACAAACTTTAATATGTAACAGAACTGGTATTCGATAGTCGAAATTCACTCTCATCAAAGGTTTTAGTTAACTTATTTTAAGTCTAAATCCAATTAGACGTAAGCTGTTTGAAAGTCTTCTTGAAATGGTAAACTTTTGAGAAGAAAAAAATCCATGTGTATTAAAATGCATTGATGGATGGAAATGAATAGAAAAGAAATCTCAAGGTAGTAAAATTTGTTCTTTACGTCCAATCATTTCATGCAACAACAACAAAAGAAGAAGAAGAAATCAATCAAGAAATTAAGCTCTTAATTTCAAAAACTGCCCTTTGCGACCGACCCCAAAATCTTACATCTATGGTCTGCTTTTTATCAATATTTTCTTTTTACTGATTTTTAGAGAAAAAAATGTTTGATAAATTAAAAATATGTATGAGAGCATTCAAAACTGAAAATATCAGCCCAAAGAGGGGAAAAAAAAAAAAAAAAAAAAAAAAAATATATATATATATATATATATATATATATACACATACATGCCAACATTTGAAAATCAGAAATCTGTACAAATTATGCTATTTAAAAAAAAAAAAGAGGAACAATCCTAACTCTCCTATTCAATACTACAGACAAATTTGTACAGGAAGAGGAACACCTGCATTAAAATGATAATTATCTTCTCCCAAAAAGAGGAATGTTCCTCTTTAATCTGAACAGTTGGCATGTATGTATATATATATATATATATATATATATATATATATATATATATATATATATATAAATATACAAAAAATTGACTGACAGACCCAGATGCTGACACCTCAAGGGCAAAACAACACCTTTTTTTAAAGGCCTAATTTAAAGCCACATGATAAGTATTGGGTAAAACGAAAGAAAAGGGAAGAAAAAAAAGTCCAGTGAACTTCTCTAAATTGATGTTTTTATTGTTGCCACAGCAACATAACTACATTTCAAGTTTGCCACGTTTGAGGTAGATTACAGGTTGCTTTTACCCCAGATCGGTGCCAAGTTGATGAGAAAAAGAAGAAGATAATTTGGAAAGCCCTGGGAATTCCAGAATATTCTAGATGCTGATCATTGACATCATCATTTCTATCAAAGTCACCTCAGTAAGAGATCCAGGGGTGGGCATGAGATGCATGTGACCCTTCCCCCCTCCCCACCCCTCAAAAATGCTAACCTGTCATATAGATCAGTAAAAATGGCTCCTTGAATGTGCCCCTCCCCCATAGCAATTAAGACACCAATGGTGTCTTAAACAAGTGCTACCCTTTCCTTGTCAGAGAATCTTGAAGTAAAAGGCACCCCCAAATCTTATCTCTGGCCACAAAAGCCTGTCTTTCTTTGAAAAATCAAAAACAGAGTAGATATTATGTAACCCATTGCCCACAGGAACAATAGGAAAATTCAGTACACATCAGTGTAACAATGTCTCTGTCAGAATGTACTATGAAGAAGAAAAAAAAGATTGCCATAACCAAAACTTGTCTGGTGTCTTGCAATACCATATGAGTTCATATATCTTTAACTTGACCGTGTCATGTCAAAGTACAATAAGATGGTCATTACAAATAATGGTCAGGTGTTACAAAATCTCTTTGTACTATTTTTTCATTCAATTTATTGATAAAGGATACTATATATTGCAAAGTGCAAAAGTTGTGTGTTGAGATTCCAATAGTTCACTGCATACATAAAATGTTTGCAAATCTGGACCAAAAATCTATGAAAATTTCTTGCACACAAATAATCTTATTTATAGTAGTCTATTACTGCAGAGAGAACAAATATGCATATAGAGAAAGGGACTGAAAGGGCAGATTTTTTTTTGAATAGATCAGAAAATGTCTTGAAAATAAGTTTGTTTACATTGCAGTTATCATTCAACTCTAGCAAGAAAAAAAAAACCTCAACCAGAATATAAACTGAGCAAAGTGCAGAGAGATAAGAACTTTTTCAAGATAACGGTAGAGAGAGAGAAAAGCTTGAGAAAGTGATGAGAGAACTTTCCTAATTGAATTATAACGGGTGTACCTGTGTACCCCTAGACACCTGTAGATGGGTCTCAGTCAGCACCCATTAGTGCCCACATTGTCCCACATGTCCCTCAGGTAAATGGGAAACTCCCCACAAACTTTTCTTCAGTAGCTCAAACTATACTCAGGTAAAACCAGAATTGTGATTTTTCTTTTGCTCTGTTTAAATCATAAGAGCATATTGTTTTGTAGGTTTTGTGTGTCTATGAGTTTGGTTCTCATCTTCGCTGTCTGATGTAGATATTAACATGTTGGTAGTGAGGAGCTATATGCACATGGTTCCTTATAAATACAAAGTAATCTACATTCCCACATTGGTTTTAAAAGACAGGTTTGCCCGTGGTGCAAGAGTCGGAAAAAAAAAATTACTGTACTAAGTTTAAACTGTGCATGAGTCAAAGACAAAATAATAAAAACAATATCAGATTGACGGAGAGGAGAAAACGGATGTATAAAAAACATAAAGGTGGTGAAATAGACAGCAAAAGAGAAAGGAGGGACTAACAGGGAAAGAGAGAGAAAGAGAGAGAGAGAGAGAGAGAGAGAGAGAGAGAGAGAGGGGGGGAGATAGAGAAAGAGAAAGTTAGAGGGAGAAGAGAGAGAGAGAGAGAGAGAGAGAGAGAGAGAGAGAGAGAGAGAGAGAGAGAGAGAGAGAGAGAGAGAAGCAAGCACTACAGGAGCAACAATAAAAGACATGCACATGATATTTTTAAAAGATGGGCCCAGATATTATCATTGCATCAACATTAAAAAATCCGGTTTGACCTGAAGATGCTGAATTGTACCTGCCCTGGTTTTAACCCTTCTAAATCTTCAGCTCCTTTAGATATGTTGAAGGTTTTAAGGAGGGACGGACCTGGAGATTGGACCCACAATGAACCCCTCCTCACACCCCCTGATACTAAACTACAGCTGACTACAAAACAGGATCTAGTCTTTATGTTTAGGCATTATCGACTTGTTAATCTAATCTCATGGAAGAGACAGACTCTTTCTCACTTTGAAAACTAAACATATTGAGTTTATTTCACACAATTTTGCTAAAGTTTTTTTTTAATTATCCATGGATAATAACCTGAACTATGCCAACAAGTTTTGAACAACAATCATAAAATGAGCTAAATGAGCCTTCAATAGTTTACTTGGGGGAGGGGGGGGGGGGGGTTCCAGCATATGGCATGGAATGAGTTCGTAGGTGCAGACTACTTTAAACATACTTTTTAACATTTTCACAAGATCATGAGAGAAGCCAGAAAAATTAATAAAGTTTACAAAGTAAGGAAAACAAAAATGTTTATGAAAAATTATAACCTTTCCGTAAGGTTTTAGCCTCTTAAATCATTGGTCAAAAGGGAATTCTAAATTGAATTCTCCATAGTAACATATATGACCAAATCTACTGGTATCACCGCAAGTTCCAGTTTTGATCTTGT